AGTGCAGTCCATCTACTGAGCTCGTAAGAGTATAAGTACTTGGTCTAGCTGAAATCGCTCTCAGGGTAGAGTCTACGTTTCATCGCAGTCCCAACTTGAACTTTCAGTTTCCTGTTCTCTCCATGTATTGGAACACTTACCTTGAGACCTCTGGCTTGAAAAATTCGAATGTCTGCAGGAACCTTGTCACCACCGCCAACTTCGACCACATCTCCAAGTACGACTTCTTCGACCTTTATGTCAACCAATCGTCCATCCCGAATGACCTAAAACTCACTGCTCTAGACAGTACGAAGACTCTAAATTGGATGTAATCTGCTGAAAACTGTACATGTGCCATCGGCGGAATCATATTGGCGAACGAGCTCATGATGTTCCCACTCTTTGCTTCTTGATAGAACGAAAACAGTCCAGTGATGGTGACTACTGTAGCCAAGGTGATGGCCAAATAGAGCTTAAAATTGTTTGATTAGTAGTATGAATAGTATAAGCTTCGTATGCGCGTCGGCAGTCGATCACTTGCGCGTGCGATGCAAGCGACTGTCGTTGCAAAGTCTGAACTCTGCCCAAAAGAGTGCACGAAAAGTCAGAGGAGTGGGTGGCGTTGGAATTATCGCACTACATATGCGGCAAGTGTGCGGCGGCTGAGACGGTGGTAATCTGGCTCCGAGTGGGAGTGAACGGGTTTTCGTCAGTTCGAGCTAACGTCGAGTTCACTCACTTCCCCAGAGTATTGCAGGACCTACCGAACTGCTAGGAGAAATGGCAGTGATTCATAGCCACTATTCCCGGTCAGCATGCTTATCATCCATCGCTGTTTAACTCGTTTCATAACCATGAAGGTAGTAATAATATTACGAAAAAAGAAAGGACGCGCGCAATGGTTATTATTTGCAGCAAAATGTCCTTTCTTCAAGGACTTCGGTTATGTGGCCACCTCTCAACTCGCAGTTGGGCAGCGTCAGACTTCGAAATGATGCGCGAACTCGGTATTTCGATTAGTGGTATAGGAGGATAATAGGAGTATAGCGCGGGCTAACGTCCTGTCTTCCCTATTCATTCAAAAACACTAGCGCGAAGCCGCCGATCGATATAGCTGCATGATCAGGCAACCCTACCCCCCCTATGCAGTCGTATACTTTTCAAAAGCAGGCTAAGCTCTTTTCTCCAAGAGTTGGCAGGACTCCACTTATTTACGATCACGGCCTCGGCGCCGAATAATTCTCAACCACACACTTACGTTTTCGTCTGCACCCACTGACGCCACAGCAAATAAAAGCGCGCGCCAGGCGCCTAGGCGGCAACTTCCCCCCCCCCCACCTCCGCGAAGTCTGGAAGCTGCACTGGGGCTTACATATGGTGTGTGCTGCAATTCAAGAATATTGCACTGTTGCCGTGATACTTTCGATTGTTTTTCTTCATACTATTCCCGCACGATTTTGTGACAGACATCGGGCCGGTGACATAATTTCATACCATGGTGGAAGGCCAAGGCAGGCTATGTGAAAGTAGGACTGCTCCGCGTCGCGCGCGCGCGACAAGCTAACACTATCTGCTTGCAATCACGATGGTCAACCATGTTGGTGGTACAGTAGAATTTCGCTGCGATTTTTTTAGCAGGTTGTCGCGGATGCGACGGTCGCCGTTGGGCGCACCTCGCGCCCCGGCCCATCCGCGCTCGGTTCCCACGGCGTGCGCTTCACGTGCGCCGTGGTTCCGCCCCCTGCGGTCGTAGGCCGAGCTATAGTACGTCCCGAGGCTAGGCAGTCGCGCCGGGGTTTTCACCGGGCAACGCGATGACAGCGCCGAAGGCAGAGGGGTGGAGTCCACTCCGAAGCTGGAGGCAGCCTCGAGCGCCGGCCATGAGCCGGCCGATGTCCATCCCCTGCTCCCCGACTGGGAGCAGCCTCTGCTCCAGCCGGCCGGTACGGTTCATCAAACGACGAGCGATGAGGACTACCGCCGGCAGGATGGGGCATAATACGTATGAAGGGGATGAAGCCTTAACAGGCCTATTGCGTACTCAGAGGGGCAACGGCCACGGGGGCCTATTACGTGCTCAGCTATGGAACGAAGCCCACGGAGAACGGCGGCCAGGGGAGAACAATCATTGTAGTGCGGTGAGTAGTTCGTTAATAAATGATGTAGATTATTTAATGTTCTATTTGTTATTATAATGGTTTATACCACGGTGCTTACCTGTGTTTCTATGTGTGGGTTGTTACCATGGTGGCGCCATGGTGGTTGGTCTACGGGGGTAGGGCCACGGCCTCGTGCGGCGCGGTACGGTGGAGGCCGTGGTAGGCTTGCAGGGACGGCGGGCACGGACGGTGGAGTACGCCGTGGAAGCGTGGGGGGGGGGTCGGTAGGTGCGCCGCCGCAGGAAAATCCCATGGTCCCCGGGTTAGGTCCCCGTTCCTGTGCGGGTGCGTAGGAAGTCGCTGTGGCCAGCCCGAGCGACTGGGTGGGGGAGCGAGGTTCGGTACCACCGATGTCGATCGAGTAGGGTGCCATCAGGGTCCGCTGCACAGGTCACTCGTTTGTACCTCAACCATACGACATCAGGTACTGTCGCTGACAGTAGGCTGTCCAGGAGACATTGCAAGCTGCAAATATGATCACGGATTAGCCAATGGGCCTCATTAGCTTGTGAGCTATGGTTGTGCGGGTTTCCTGCAGTATACCTGCTACATGAACTCTTTAATTAAGCAAATGAAACGAAATCTAATGGCTACTACCCTCGGCCTCTTTGAAACATGGCTGAAAACAGAAGCGAACGCTGTCTAAGTTAACGAAGCAATGACATGAAAAACCTTGCGTGCTCCATAACAAGATGACCGTTTCACCAGTTTGCCGCTCGCGATGCCGCGTGGTCCCAAGGTCCGTCTCCCTCTAGGTTACCAGAAGCTGCGGTGTAACAAACATTTCGACGTAGCTGGCATCTTTTGCCTACAACATGCCGAGGTTGAGCTTCCAACAAAACATTCGTAGCGAGTTTGAGATAGTTTACTAATGTCCCTGAAAGCTTATCTTCACAGCGTTCGTAACGCATTAGGTACATGTGTCGTGCAAAGTGTACTTGCCACATTGTTCCAGTGCAGTTATTTTCCCCCGCCATCACCCCTCCCACCTAACGGTCGATGTCCTATTCAACCGCCATTTTCGATACCTGAACAGTAGCTGTCTGTTGACTGCCCACCACTTCCCCCCTCCCACTCAGCGGCAGTTTGATTAACTCAATTTTTTGGCGAAAAGCCGCAGATGTCTTTGGAAAACTGGGGGTAGGATAGAGGAAGGAGGTTCTAAGTGGATAAAGAATTTGGGGGAGCTTGTTTTGGACCGTCATTTCCTCCATCCCGATGGTGTACCCTCGCCCGGCGCCACCAGAATCGCTGGTGGTTCTATAACAGTCGATCAATCATTACCAAACCATACATTGTCAGCTTTCGTATCTTCGCCATATTCCTTGCTTCTCCATGAAATACCCAACAAGGGAAGCTAGTGAAGCAATCCAGAGAAGCATGTTGAAGCCTCCTGAATGAAAACTTGTACACATTGTTTACTCCTCATTATATACACTTTTTTCGAAGAACACTTATATATGCGCCTTCAGCTAGTTGAAAGGTGTTCCGAGTTTGAGAAGTTTGGGTTCGTCAGTATTTCATTGTTCCCAAAATCATTTCAACCCCATGAGCGTTCATAGTGGTGATTACCAGTAGTTCCATGGTGTAGCGAAGGAGGATGTCTCATACGCGGCATTCGCACCAGGGTCTGGATGTGCTTCTACGACCACTTCAAGTCTGGGAGGTGGACTGATTTCTGTTTGTCAGTGCAACTTGGAACTCGCGTCACACATCCCATTCCGAAGCAAACCACCATGGTCGTCGAAATTAAGTAAATGACAGGCGCCGTTGCGTCGGCATGCCTTGGGCTGCGTTCATACCTTGCGGCAGCTACCACCAGCAACGAGTAGCGTCAGGAAGGTAAAAGTATCTATCTGGCTACCAGCAGCGTTCATTAGCGTCCACCGGCGACCAGCAGCGACCGAGAGTGAGAAGAGCCGATAGGAGGGTAGCAAACAGCACATACAGTATGGAGAGATAGGAGGGTAGCATACTGCTGGTAAAGAGTATGGTGCGATAGGAGAGTATCAGCTGTCTGCTACCCCTGTATCGTCACACTCTCCATTCCTGGACGCCACTGGTGGACGCCGCTTGACGCTGCTGGTCGATAGGTCAGTACCTCTACTTCCCTAGCCCTCGATGCGCTGCTAGTCGCTGGTGGGCGCAGGTGGACGCTAGATCGATATCTACGCTTTCCTAGTTGCTGACGCTGGCGGACCGGACGCTGGAATGCTGATGTCAACTGTGTCAGTGGGTATCTCCCATAAGCAGTTGCAAGCTGTTGTTACAGAAAAACTTGCTAGACTGATACCACAGCATAAATTTCCGCTGGTGAAGCCGCTACCGCGAGTGCCTCAAGTTGGTGCGCTGAACACACGGCGAAAAATCACCACCTCTTTGAGAGCTTACACAGCAATAAATTTCGCTGGGTGAACGTCTGCACCGCGAAGTGCCTCAAGTGGTGCCTGAACACAGTGAAAATCATCACCTCTTTGAAAGCACCGCGCCCTACGAATTCACTTAAAGGGGTCTAAAAGGAAATGGGAGAATTCAGTCGATTCCTGCCATGTACTGGACCATTCTGTGCATGCTTGAAAACTCTTGAGAAGCTTCCAAACAGAACTGTGTCAGTGGGTATCCCATAAAGCAGTAGCAAGCTGTTGTCACAGAAAAACTTGCTAGACTGATACCACAGCACCAATTTCGAGTTTTATAAGCACTCATCTTCTCCTACCATTGGCTCCATCTTAGCCTTTTGTGAACCGCAGACCAAGCCCGTAAGCAGACGGCGACACTTTGTGCAAACTAGCAAAACTGACCAAGTTAGTAGTGCTCGTAGAATAGGGTGAGGATCGAACAGTTGCTAGTAAAACTGGAGACCCTATTCTGCTATATTCTGCTATGCCGGTATCAATCCACGGTGGCGTTTATGATTAGATGATACACCAACCTCCTGTATGTTTCGTGGGTTGAAAAAAACTCCCGCAACACTTTGACCAAAATGTCGCACCAAGTTTTCCTTCGCTGGGCCTACAATCTACCTGGTAATCACCATTAGTAACTAGGACGTGTGCCCACCTTTCACACAGCTTCTCAGTCCCGCTTTGCAGAACCACTGCTACTACAATGAAAAGAAAGCGGTGAACGCTTTCCTCTAGTGGACGCAGTAGACGCTGTTTTCCAAAGTTCTTGCTTTCTCGCAGAATGAAGTAGGGATCGAAGGAGCTGGCTGGTATGTACGGTGCATGATCTCATAGCGTAACCATTGCCTCAAGCGGTCTTCGTATTGCCGAGGAGTAGAAGGAGATTGAGTGTTTTTGAATGAAATCAAACGTAGCGTCGTCCACGTTTCGAAGTTCATTGGGGTACACTGTTACCGTAACTGTATCCCACAAAAAAGCAGTGAAACCTTTTATCGCGTTCACGCTTCGCTGAAGCAGGCAACTTTAGTTAATTTGATGTTTACAGATGATTAGCATGGTTTACGCGAAGGACCCAGCTCTCGTCACCAACCACAGTGTCTCACAAAAGTCCTTCCAATGCGTACGAAAAAGGGAAAACTCAGTCACGACTAGTCAGTGCGCTTTGTCAGACTGGAACGACTCATGTGGCATCCATCAGAAAACTTTCCCCATAACCGAGGACACAGAAAAGCATGCGGCGGTTGTCACTTAGCAATGAGGCGCAGCCTAGAGTCAAGCGTATTTCGCGGAAAATTAGGAGGTTGATATGATCCCTCCCCCCTGAAAGGGAGTGTCCTCACGACCCCCTTCCTCTTACTGAGTCTGGAGGGTTTGGAGGCATCAACATATACAGCTACATCCTGCTATGTTTATCAGGATGTAGCTATATATGTTGTTGTTTTACCAAGTTCTGAGGATCTAGGAGCATTCACCGAATCAGTCAAACGAAAGCACTGAAAATTGAAAAGATGTAATGCGCACAGTGAAACTTCGGAAAAACCTTCGGAGGATGCCGCCCAAACGAAACGGAAGCGCACTGCGGCTAAGTTAATAATTTCGCTAATTGAGAGTAGAGCGCTATCGGCCCACTGCATTCACGTAATATTTTTTCAAAAGTATATAACTCCATTCAGAACCATCTTCCGCGGAGCGGTAAGGACAATTCAAAATGTATATCTCTGGAAGAAATAATATCTCTGGAAGAAATACACTACAGGTTTCATCAAGCTTACATGACGGCTTCTGGCCAGAAAGTAACGCGGAGAATTTTGGGCGAACGCGAGTTCTTCATCTTTCAATGAAATAACTTCGTTCAGGCATATGCAGAATGGAGATCTACATGGCATTGGGAACTAGAGGATTCTTTCTTTTGAAGGAGCATAACAGCTTTGCCATAGCTCAATTATAGCCGAAATTCGCCCGTCGCGGAAAATCACAAAAATAACGCGGAGAATTTTCGGCGAACGCGTGCTTTTCATATTTCAAAGGCCATAATTTCGTTTAGGCATAACGAAGAACGGAGACCTAGACGGCGTTGGAATCTGGAGGGTTTTCTCTATCTGATGCGTTCCTATCTTCGCTATAGCTAAAACACAGCGGAGCTTCGCCCGTCACGCATTTCTCTTTGGAAAACAGCTTAAGCTGCAGTATGAGGATCTCGCCCTCTACAGAACCCACTGTTTAGTCTAGAAAGCTCGGTATGCTTTGCATACACCTTTTCCGGTGAGGAGGAAATGCAGCACAGACGTGCTGGTCAACGCCTCCATGAATTGCGCCATCGACTGCACTCCCTCAGCGTATCTTCCACTTTGCAAGCTATGTCGCTGCTTCTTTGAGTAATGACCTCTGTAAATACGACCGCGACGTAATGTTCGAGCCTGCTAGAGACGTTGTCGAATTAGTGGTGGTCACATTCCTGTTGTTCTCCACGGACTTTTTGAACAGGCTTCCTTCCGTGCTAGTGGCAGACCTTTACTTTGCCTACCTTCAAATGAAATAACTCCAGCCTGCAGTCCCTGATGCCAGCGTGACACTGTGCTGGCAAATGACTCCATCCTGTAGATAAAGTAGATGTTAGCTCTCTCCAGTATGACAGGGTGGCCGTGGGGGACTTAGAGCTTTGGAAGCTTCCACAAAGTCATGAGATACCCGTCTGCAAAAACCCCAGAGGACACTCTCCACCAATCAGGGGTGAAAACTTCTAGAATGTTTTCAAGTTTTTTTCTGGAACAACTTGTTCGAAGTGTTGCAGGACTTTTTCCAACCTAATATTTCTAGCGATACCATGAAGTGGGAATGGATTGCCCGTAGCATATGTTCGGAAAGATCGCCGCCAGAAAACTGGTGCCGTTTATTCTTTTTGGTGTGCGTACCC